CTACTGTTTGGGCACAGCCCAACCAGAATTGATGTTAGACTCCACAGCTGGGCAGGCTTGCAAGGACGCTGGAACAGACTCTAGGCTGCATGGAATCAAGGTACAGGAGAGTGGATATGTTACTGTATACATGAATGTGACCTATGATATGTGGTACTGAGAAGCTTGCTGGAATCAGGACAGATGGTGTAGGTACGTTGGAAAAGTTACTGTGCAGAGTGATTAAGCAGGAGCTTGAGCAATTTGTACAGGTGAATGAAAACAGAAACTGTTAATAATTACGTTCCAAGCATCTCCCTTTAAGATTAATGATTGTACTTTTTCCTCTGTATGAGTTCGGAGAAACCACTGTGTTCAGCGAAGATGAGACCCCTTGTCTTAAATTAACAGCAAGAGTTATCTGCTTTTCTTTTTGTCTGTAGGTTCATACAGTGTTTTTCAATAGCATTGAGGTTCTCCTTTCTCTGATGTAAATTATTCTTATTTGTTCTAAAAAGGAAGAACAAATTTGAATTGTTATTTTCCTGTAGTGATTTAGATGAAGTTGGTATAGTGAGGGGAGTTGAAAAACTGATGATGAGGATCTTTCACCTGCTCCAGTGTGTCCAGGAGGCAGATGGTCCAGGGCAATTAATCAAAGCAGGTCTAATATCAAAGGAATTGTGTATATAAACAGTGATTCATTTTACCTTTTCCAGTAATAACAGTGGTGTTACAAAACAATCTGCTCTAAAACCTTGTCTCAGAAGAATTGTGAACTCCAGGTTTTCACATTCTAATGCAGATTCAGAGTCTGGGCTCCTGTCTTTACAGTGGGTCAAACTGAAGTCCTGTGTCTAAGCCCCCTACAAATCTGAGCAGTGCTCCTGATCTTCCTTATCATCCAAGCACTGCAGCATTTTTGTTTTGTGGAAGGCTTTAGCTTTCCAGACACATGACTGTCTAGCAGTAGTGCATAAAAGCAGACTTTTAAATTTATTTTTTTTCTACTGCACTTGGCATTGTAGAGAAGCAGTCTCAAATTTAAGCCCCCAGGAGTATAGAATAGTGACAACTATTCTGTACTGATGATTTAGAGTCTAATTCAGCTGCCATTAATCTCAGTAACAAAATTCTTGTTGCAGGATTTAGAGATCTAAGCCAGTAGTATTGGCATATTAAGTAGGGAGGGAGGGCTGAAATAAGGTGGCCAGACACCCACGCATTATAAAGAGTACTGTTTAAATAGAAGGATTAAAGAAGGATTCAATGTTGAGGTATGAACTCTGTAGTATACAACATACATGCCCATGTTTTGAATATTGTCAACTCTAGACCAGAGCAAAAAAGCAAGTTTAGAGGAAACGCTAAAGACACTGATCGTTGAGAAATTCTTAACTGTACATAACAGTGCTTGCTGGGCAACAGCTTTTTGCTCAACATCAGAAGTCCAGCTGGGGAAAAGGGAGATACATTTTCCAGTTGTTGAAGATTGTTCTGTCTTGCAGAAGAGTACAAAATGGATGCAAAAAACCCATTTGCAATAAAACCATGTGCTTTACATGAACTTAGTGTGGGTTTTTTTAGAGCAGGAGCCCTTCTGAACTGTGTAAATCTCAAATGTGGTTTTGCTGCCCTCCTTGGGGTGATTGAGGTGAGGCAAACTTTGATTCATTGAGTTGTTTTTACCAGTTTGTTCCCAGAACATTGGAATGTATTTTTTAAATAGCTTTCTGGTCGTTTGGTTTGGTTTGGGTTTTGTTGGTTTGTTTTTTGTTTTTTCTTTTTTAATAACTCATAAGGATGCTTGGACAAGTTTTAGTCTGCAAGTAAGTCGTAAGGTATTCTGGAGAGTGGATGGTTTTCCATCCAGCAGAGTAGGCTGTCTTCTTGAGGTGCTACATGTTAAAAATTCTTATTCCTTGTCAGACTTTATAGTAGCTGCAAAGATTTAAAGCTTTATGCTGAACTGCAGTCTTGACTGTGTACTCTTCCCCCATTGCTCTATCCTAGGGCAAGGAGAGGTCTGTGGATGGAAGAAAACTTGGCCAGAACTCTTTTGGGCTTGTAGCATGTATACAATAATCAGCAAGGGTTTACTTTTCATTATAGGGAAGAAAACACGTGTACCATATAGTATAGCTAATCCTCCCAGCTCAATCCCATCTCTCAAGAATTCCCCACTGGCCCTTGTGTGTCTTTGCAGTTCCCATTATTGTTTAGTATGGCTGTCAGAGCTTGTACACTGCAAGCGTGATCACTGAAATGCAGGGTTCAGAGCTGTGAGATGGGTAAATATGTTGCCAGCAACCCATAATAGTCTAACATGTGAGTGAAGACTTCCAGACTCTATATTTCAGCCTTTAAATAAATAAGTTAATGCTTTGTGGAGTTACGATGATGGTAGGAATTAGTAACAAAATCTTGACTTCTAGGTCCTCTGTTACCTGTTGAGAGAAATTGTAAGGCTATGATGGGTGGAAGTTTTTCTCCTGCCTGTAGGGAATCTATGGAGTTGGCTGAAAATCAAAGAGAAAGGAGGAACGAAGGGAGAGAAGAGTTTAACAGAAAAATAAGTGAGAGGACAAAATATATAATGGAATTTGCCCGTGTCCTGTGTGCTGGTTTGTTCATTGCCCATCATTGGCTAAAGTAATCACTAAGGTAGTTACAAATGCCCCTAACAGGAGGCTTTTAAGCTTTTTTTTCTTTGGAAAGATGTTGCAGACTGTTGGATTTCCTTCCTATAATTTTTCCTTAGTCCCATTTTCCTCTTCCATTCACCTCCAACTTTTCCTTTCTCTGGTCCATCATTTCCTTTCAGTTATGCCCTCTTTTCTGGTTTGGACTTTTGCCTTGAAGTGTTTAGTGACTGGGGAATCAAAACCAGGCTCTGCTATTAGCACTTCATTCAGACAAACGGGTAAAAGTGGAGTCTGGAGCCCAAGTGGTATTTTGGTCTGTCTGAAGCAGCAAGAGGTTGACTCACAAAATAAAGGATCTTTATAACTGGAAAGGATAGGAGTGATATTTTCCAACAGGCTGAAAGGTCAGGACTAATCCTTTGGGCACTTGTACATCCTTTATTTCCTGCCTATGATTAGAGAAAAGATAGAGATAAGCCGTGCTGATTAACACTTAGAACACTGGACTTTTTCTAGACTGTCAGCTAATAACAGTGCACTCAGGAGGAGTTGTGTGGAGTAGTATTTGCTTTGGACTTCTTGCTCAGTTTAGCCAGTTCCTGGAAGGCATTGAATGTTTGTTCATGGAACACACCATTCAAACCCAGCCCCATCATGCTAAAAGAAAAGATTGAGTCAGGCAATTCCACAGGCATATGCCCCAGGTCTGTATTAGGAGCTTTCTCTGTCATACAAACACTTGCCAGGGTTTATGCAGTGTGTTTTTGTAGTACAGTTATGTATCAGCAAAAATCCTGATGTAGAATCAGTTATAATGATTTGAAACTCGTTTTGCTGTGGACAACTAACACACTATCCTAAAAAAAAAAAAAAAAAGGCAATCTTCTGTCAGTATTTTATGTCTTCAGAAGCAACTCTGCAATGTAGGGCTTATGCTACAAAGTTAACCTAGTTTCAACTGCCTTTTCCTGCAGAGATTCAGTTTACATGATTGGATTGTTATTGTTGTTGTCCACTCTTTTTCTTTTCCTACTACTTTATTTCTTCTCTCTTTTCCCTGTTCCTCACTAATTCTCTTATTTGTTTAGCCTTCTCTCCAGTAAGATTTCAGGAGACCTGTTCAGCGACACATGTTATTTGCTATGAGAGCTGGTTTGCTCATAAATTTTGCTATTTGAGCTGAACTATTTTCATGACAGGTCCAATCTTGAGTATGATCTGTTCATTATTTTCTTGCGCTGCAGAAAATTTAAAAGATTACACCTGGAAAATCAGGCATTGTTTAACTGTAGTTATGATATATATTTAAATTTACCAAGTACTTATTTACTTGTTAAGAGACAAGTGCTCAAATAAAAGGAGGAAGAATAATAAATGAACACAAAAAACAGGGCTTTGTCAAGTGTGAAAAATCATGGTCATACATTCAGTTGCCTGTATATGGCTGTCCTTTGGAAGAGTCTTAATAAAAGAAGAAAATTAGGGTGATTCGTGACAAAATGAAACAGATTAACCTGGAAGAGGACAGTCAGTTTGGCACTCCTCAGCTGCACAGGTATGGTTCTGCAAATTTTTGCTTGGTTCTATAGAAATGAGATAAATTACTGCTTAGGAGGATCTGTCCTCTCTTTGTAGCTTATTTCACAGCAAAATGCACAATGTTCCTTTCATAGGTGAATTGAGATAGACCCTCACATACTCCGGAACATTGGAGAAATGCCTCCTTCTCGATCCAAGACTCAGCACAAAAAGGCTGCCAAAGTGTTGAATTGTGAAAAAAAGGCAAGTTCCCCAGGAGATTCAAAGATCCACTGTGGGAGACGGTGGGAAGGTGCGAGTAAAGGCCAGGTGAAGAACAAAGAATCATTGCCTGAACAAGATGACACCACTGAAGAAGACCTCTTAAAAAGCCAGAGGCTGGTGAGGCTTCAGGGAAGCAAAGAAAATGGCCACAGAAAGTTATTCCGGGGAAAAAGAACCTACAAGAGAAATGATAAAAGAGAATTTGGTTTGGGGAGAAAACATGGACAACAGTTAGTGTCCAAGTTGGAGGGGAAAAAAGGAAAGGCTTGCAAGTGGCAGGAAATGACATCAGGACGAGAAAGTGAGGACAGTAGCGATAAGGAAGAAAAAGCCACCACAAACTGCAAGAAACACAGTTTTAAAAAGAAGTGTGGAAAGCGTCTTGCTGTTAGCAAAAATGACACCAAGTCAGAGTCCGTGAAGTCAATTGCAGTGAAAAGTGTTGAAGGCTCTTTTCAGAAACATGACTCGCGGCAGAAGGCACATAATGCCAGGCCTAGGGAAAAGCACAATGAGAATCATGGCTTTAATGAAGCTTCTAAGCAGAAGTCAGGCTCTCAATCCCAAGGCAGCATGGCGCAGGGAAAAAGTGAGAGAACTGGGAAAAAGCAAGTTGGAAAACATACCAGGATTATTGTCACTGAAAGTGCAGAAGAAAATATCCTGGAAACCTCAGATAACTCCTGCTCTGACTCCAGCAATGAAGGCAATTGGATCCATAAAAAAGGTACAGAAGAGTCTCTAGTGGACAGCACTGCAAGCAGTGAAGAGAACAGTAGTTCTTCAGAGGAAGATAGCATCAGTGAGAAAGCAGCCATGCTTGAAGATCCTCCTGCAGCTCAAGGAAACAGCTGCAAGGAACTGCTTGATAAAAGCAACAAAGCATCTATTGAAACTGGAAGGGAACAGGTGATCACAGATGGAACGAATGAATCTGAGGATGAAGGCACAGACTCTGCAGGATTGGAGGCAAAGGAGAGAATGAAGAAGCAAGATGACATGCCAAGACAACCAAAATCTATTCTAGCTCAGAGCAGTGACGAAGACGATGATGTAAACATTTCACGATTCCAACTTGAAAGTCTTAAGAACAGAGAAAATGTCAATAATGAAGTAGGCAAGGAAAATACATTAGAAAATGACAAAATTCAAGATATGTCAAAAGATGCACATGATAATTCTGATGGCAGTGGGGAGAATAGCACTGAAGAGAGCATTAACAAAGGAAAAGAAAATGCAACAAAACAACCACAGCCTAGTGCTCTGAAAGCAAAACTCCACATTCGCCTTAGCAAAGTACTTCAAGGAACTGAACAGGAAGAGAAGGTGAATGATGAAGGCAGCGCACTGGAAGGTAGCCCTTGGCTCTCCAAGCAACCGATGACCTTGAAAGAGAAATCTGGGAGGTGTGAGATTGCAGAACAAGGTAAAGTGATAGGACATAGACAGAGGGACAGTTCATCAGACTGCAGAAAGCAGGAGTTAGCAGCAATGATGTTTACAAAAAAATGCTCTTCTCAATCCCAAATCCTTCTCAATCTGAAAAACAAACATAAAAATACTGAGACCAAACTATTAACAAGCTGTAAACCAAATCCTGTCCAGATGGCTTTGGAAACCAACTCTGACCTGAAAAATGTTGAAAGCATCTGTTCAAAACCCACGACTCTAGAAACCCTCAATACACAGAAAGAACCCAACATAGCTCAGAGTTTTGGAGAGACAAGATTAAATCTTTCAAATATTTCAAGCTGCTCCACTATTACAAAAAAATCATCTGATAAGCAGCTCCTTGGCAAGAAGAAGAAAGTTGGAAAAGTTATTGGAAAAGTTAAACTCAATTCAGGCCAGACTTTAGAGGCAAGAAAAGAGAAAGCAGAAGAAGTGGTTGCAGAGGCAACTTCTGAAAAAGAAAATGTGCACGATGGGAAAGGATCCAAGTACTTGCACACCCATTCTGCTTTTAGAAAAGCCACCAGCTGGGTTGGTCAAAAACCTGCCAAGAAAGCAAGTCTGAAAGCTCGTCTTCTGAGTGTGGCACGTGCAATTGGTGTTTCAAGATGGCTCTTGAAGAAATTTGGGAAGAGAAAGAGGAGCAGTAAACATTTTGGATTCAGAAGTAGAGTGGCAGTACGGATTGTGAGCACTGCTGCATGGCTTGGTCGGTCTGGCAAAGCCTTTCCTGGTGCAGCCAGACATCTGGGGAGGGCTGAGTTGAGTGACAAAGAATCTTCTCCGTTAGAGGAGGTGAAAGGTGATCCTAAAATGGCAGAGGAAGTGGGACACAGTGATTTGCCTTCTGGTGATTCCCCTCTTCATGGAACAAGTTCCTTTCCATACTTACTTAGCTTGGATGAGGAGAACAATGCTCCTGATGCCAAGTTTGCTATAGTATTCCCCGGAGTCCACAGCATGATTAAGGCAAAGACCTCCTTGTCCAGGGGCTCTGGGAATGGTTATTCTCTAGAGAAACTGAGATCTCGATCAGAGGGAAAATCTGTGATGCCTGTGCAACAGAGTTGCAGATTCAAATCGGACCTTCCCAGATCTTTGATGAATCAAAGCCCTCAGAGAAACAGTGATCAGGGCTTCCTTCCACATCAGGAAGAGGATCCAATACGTACATCAGATTGTTCCAGTGAGGTAGATGCCAAAGAGGGTTCAGGTGTCCTCCAGACTGCGGGGTCCATGGTCACACCTCATGTTCACTGGTCTCAGCCACAGGCTCAGGGATGTGATCCTGCAGCATGGCTGAACTCTGAATTGCTGCTGCCACGACTAACCATTGAGAACTTAAGCAAATGGGCCATCTACAAGGACCCACATCTGGCCAAAAGCCATGTGATGAAGGTCTGTAAGGGTCAGTGGGAGGCAGAAGACATCTCTGACAATATGCTAGAGATGGAATACATGCAGAAACAGGTACAGGTGTTGTCTCCAGTTTTGGAATGAAGCTGAACTTCTCCTGATTGTCAGTAATGTATCTATGCGTTTCAGGTGTACATGTGTGAAGACCACTGTGTAGAAGTTGAGGAGATTGAAGATTTAACCAGACTGGAGTATGTGTTGGCAGTGGTATTCTGCAGCTAATTCAAGGTCACAGGGGCTTGCTTGTTATACTTCCAAGCTACTGTTGGCTCAACAACAGCAAATGCATTATAGATCCTTGGCTACCATGTGAGAAAATAGAATTAATTTGATGCATATCATAGCTGAGTAACTGATGCTTTGCAGTAAAGCTAAGTAAAAAACTGCATTGCACTATTTAAGTTATGGACTGAATCACGTGGGGAGGAACACAGCTGCAGAGGGAGCTCCTGACCTTTATGTACAGTGTGTCCGCCAGCTCTGCTGCAGAGTGCACATTGAATCTCCACAGTCACACACCAGAGAGAGCAGCTCATCCTAGTCAGCAGACTCTTACAGATGCATCCAGTGAAATCTAGCTCCCCTGTTAAATCATTCCTACTCCTGAAATGGGTTCTAAAAAAACCAAATATGCTTTATGTGTAGGGGAAACAAGATTTAGAGGCTGTGACTTTTAATGAAGAGGGACAGAACTGGGAATCTGACATACCATTGCCTTCAGCTGTGGCAAACTCAGGCCCTACATCTTTATCAGCTTTTAAATCATGGGTTCACTGCTGTTGTTGAAAGAGAAGCACCTAACACTGCTTCTCACATGTCCTGCATCCTCTACCCTTGCCATCCTGTTGAGATAAACAACTGTAAAGGCTGTGTGCAAGGAGGTGTGCTCACACAGAGATGGACAGCCTGAATGTTCTGAGCTTTGGCTGCTCTGTTCTCTGATGTGTTTAATCCTGGACATGTTGGAACCATGTGAAAGCAGTGACAACTTTCAGATCCCAGCCTCCTACAAAATCCTTGGGAGGGCAGAAAGGTTAATATTAACACATGCAAATGAATCTTATGGCTAACAAGTCCTTTCCTCTGTTCGTAGGGAAGTCTGTGAGAGCTCAGTTCTGCTGTGTCTGAAGAAGAGGTTCCATCGCGACCTTATTTATGTATGGGTGGTGGTGTGTTTTTGGGGTTTTTTTGTTTGTTTGTTTGTTTTGGTTTGGTTTTTTTTAATTTCAGTGCTTATTTATTCTGACAAATGAGCTTGAAGAGAAAATAATTTCTAACGTTCCATCAAGCTTTAATAAAGCACCAAGTAACTCAAGCTCACTCATTACCAGGAACAGTGATAAGAAATATATTCACATTTTGCTCAGAAAACAGGTAGCATGAAATATTTGTGGTAAAATCTGAAAGTAGCAGAATTTCTCTTTAATTTTGGTATTTGTTGCTAACCCTTGAGAACACTTGAATTCAGTTTTAGCCTCAGCTACTCCCTGTGGAACATTCCTGTCTTAGCAATGCAGTTCCAGCTAAAAACCATGGATCTTGAGAAGAAACTTCAGAGTTTCTGCAAACATTTCACAGTGTTGCAGTCCAGAGCTAGTTTTGTTCTCTTTTTCATTTGATGGCTCAGGTGTTCAAACCTGTGCCTGTTATTTCATGTGGAGCTTGGAGAATAGACAGTGACTGGTGAAGGTGACCATGGGCTAGTGACTGTGCACTTAGCCCAAAATATTAATGACAGAGCTTTGAAAATGGCCATTGAAAAATTGTGCTATGCCCTGAAAAAACTAGCAGTATAGTCATTATAGACAGCATTCCTTTAAAAGTCATCTTAATCTTTGTATTGATATATGTGTTCTGTTGCATTCCTCATTCAGAAAATTCTAAGAAGCCACCAGATTTTTTTTTTCTTATTTTTGTCCTAGACTTACATTGGGCAAATTTTGGTTTCTGTGAATCCTTTCAAAGACCTCAGTATCTACTCTGAAGATGTGGCTACCCAGTACCACCAAGGGACCCTCACAAAAAATGCCCCGTATGTTTCTCTTTATCAAATAACTCCCTAAATTTTGTTATGTTTGTGCTCCAGGAAGTATTTTATTTCCCTCCAGTTGACTGATAGAGCAGGATGAATGCCACAGGAAGTGACCAATCCATTTGGCAGAGTTGTAGTTGCTCTGACCTGTAATGCTACAGAGCTAAACTCTTCAGTATTGCTTGAAGATCCTGAATTCAATGCCTTCTGGGATTGTGCTTGAGGAGTTCTGTCAGTATGTGCTCCCCACTGCTACACTGACACAAGCTAGCAACATAGGCAGGTTCCTCTAGTGCAGTTAATACTGTTGATGTCCCTTATATTAAACACCATGGCACAGGGATGTACTCAGGTTAGCCTGAAGAGGTGCTGGAGAAACATGAACTTTGCAATAACTTGTAAGAGTGGTATTAACCTGATGTCAGCAAAGAACAAGGCTCTGATTTTCCTGGTTCCTCACATTTCTCGTATCAAGATACTGGCTCATCTCTAGTGTAGATCACTGATGAGTAACCTTTTGGTGCTGTATTTGTGAGGTAGGAATGTGAGGTTGGTTAACCGGGGTTTTCTTTATGTGCATCTAGACACATCTTTGCCATAGCAGAAATGGCCTACATGCTATCCCAGTCATCAGAGCAAGAGCAGTGTGTCATCATCAGGTAGGTAATAAGAGTACTTTTTTTAAGGCTTGTTAATGTCTTTATGTAAGATGTTCATCTTTGTAATTTACTGTCCATAAGTTTATCATTCTGGCTCTTGTGAGAAAGCTGTCAGTAGAGAACATGAATAAGATGGATTTTTATTTCACTCTGTGCAAATACAGTTTGAATTTAGCTTCACATCAGTTTGGAGGAGTGGAAGAGAAGGCGTTTGGCATTCCACAGCGAAATCTTATTTGGGCATATTTTGTCAGGTTGTCTCAGTGTTTCAAACAATATGTGATAGATCTTCATTCATTGCAAATCAGTGCAACACTGATTTACAGTAACAGGTTCTCTGATATGTCTAAATGAAGTAATTCTGTTTTGATGCCAGCTTCCTTATCTCTTGTTCCTCCAGTGGACACAGTGGATCAGGTAAAACTGAAGCTGCCAAAGCAATTGTGCAATACCTGACCATGCTGTACCAGACATCAGACAGCCACAGGATCAGACAGGTAAGAGGCAACTGAGACGGGCTTTATGCTGTGATGGTTAAGCAAGGAGTAGAAGCCAAAGACAGGGTAAAGAGGCCAATACAGTTTATGTTATTTCTTTGTTCCTGTTTAACTGAGCTGGACTTTGGATGGCTTGTGGTTCAAGGTGAAGCTCTCCTGTAAAGACATGAGGACAGCTGATGTATTTATTGTTCTGTATTTTAGTATCTGGGAGCCCTGATGCTGTATAGAGTGCTGTATCTGTTTGAACAGAGAGATGATACCTGCCTTAGAGACCTTATAGCAGTGTCTGGGAGGTGAATCTGAACAAACACAGAGCAGAAGTAAAGTGAAAGATCATAGCAGTGAAGGTAAAGAGCTCACAGAGCAGCTCACCAATGGTTAGAGGCAATGATACCAAGATAAATTTTAAAAGAGACTCTTTAGCCAGGGCAAGAATTATATCAGGAAAGTCCCATTTTTCTTGCATTTTCAAACTAACAGTTACTTAAGTCCTTTTGGGTTTAAAAACGTGTGATTGCTACTGTTCTCTCCCTCTTTTCTTCAAGCCCTGCAATGTCCTACCCATCTTGGAGAGTTTTGGGAATGCCAAAACCATCCTCAATAACAACTCAAGCCGTTTTGGAAAGCTTCTGAATGTCCACCTGCAACAGTGAGTTAAAGGAACACCTTGGGGTGCTGTCCTTACCAGCTGTCAAGGGTTGATTGGGTGAGGAAAGGTCTGTCAGTGCTTAGAGCTCATGCAATAGTCCTTCCTCCCCTGCACTCTTGTTACCATCAGGATAGTAAGTGGGTGAGTTTACATTCTTCTTGGGCTTTTACATTTCCTCCACAAAAGAACAGATATTCACTTCTCAAGATAGGTGATAAATTTAGAACATAAGAATGGCTGAACTGGTTTATACCAAGTTATACAGAGTGTTATGTCTCCAACATTGGCCACAAGCATTCACTGAGGCAAAAGTCAGAACAGGCCAAATATATATAATAGTTTTCTCAAACACTCTGTTAGCTCTTAAGCATTTTCAGCAGCTTGGGGGTTTTTCTGAGACTTGTGGTTTTCCAGTTTCCTCTTGGACTCATATAAACCATATGCCTCTGCAACAATCTTTAGCAAGTGTTCTACAGGTCTAACCAGTTTCTTGAAAAACACCTTTTTTTGTTTTGAATCTGCCTCCTTTCTAACTTCCGGTTTCTTCTTCTTTTTTTTTTTCTTTTTTTTTTTTGACTCTTACTAAGCACTGAACTGATATTTTCACAGAACTGTCTATCATAACTCTGAGGTCTCAGTACTAAGCAGCAATGGTTAACTTGGAGGCTGGCAGTTTAGATGTGAAGCTGGGATTACTTCGGCCTTGTATGCATCACTTTGCATATATCTACAGTGCATTTCATGTGCCATTTTCTTGCTCACTCACTCAGTATTGTAAGGTCTGTCGGCATTTATTCACAGTTGGCCTTCATCCTCACTGCCTTAAATAATTTCATACAATGAGGAAGCTTTGTCACATTGCTGTTCAGTTCCTCTTTTAGGTCACTTGCCAAACCTTGAGTTACACTCACAGGTTAGAGCACGGACACTTTGTGGAACACCTCCCACTGTTAAGAGGATTAGCCATTTACTCCTACCCATTTCAGGACCTTTCCTTGAAAGTTCCACAGCTTTGTCAAAACCTTTTGGAAACTCATGTAGACTATAGTCCTTAGATTGTTCTTATCTGAAAATTTGTCATCTCCTTCAAACAACTCCAGGAGGTTTGTGTAGCAGGATCTCCTTTTACAGCAGCCATATTGACTCTTCTCAAATCAACTGTATATAATCAGGTGCCCACTAATTTAGCCCTTCATTACACATCTGTCTATCTGCATGGGACACATTACATGCTTAAAAGATATAGATCCTTGCATGCAGCTTAAGTCCAGGCTTCTGGCTGCATGGCCCACTATTGCTGTAGTCCTGGTTTTGGTCCAGCATCACTTTGTGCAAGATGCAATTAAATTACAAAACAAAAAGTAGTCCCTGTCCCCACAGGCTATCAGCCTGACATATGAAATGTGTGAGTAAGGTCAGATGGGGGAGTGGTAATGCAACAGCAGTCAAATACGGCTGAAGGGAGGAGCGTGGCATGTTCCCTTAACTACTTTCAAGACATGTTCTGTGAGGATCATTCAGGTTCAAGCTTCTTTGTACTCCCGAGGCTGTTCAGAACCCAAACATGAATCTGTATGTTTCATACCTGCTTTCTCTGTAATAATCTAATACAAAACACCAGTGCTGGAAAACTTTGAAATTCAGACCAAGTTGGTCAGGTCATACCTTTGTTTCTCAGCAACAACTCTCTCTCTGCTAAACCCTCAGAGAAAATATCTACAGAAAACCTCTTGCTAGCTGCTGACAGGATCTGTTGTTGTTTTATGCTCAGTGGCATCGTGGTGGGAACATCCGTCTCCCAATACCTGCTGGAGAAGTCTCGTGTGGTATTTCAGGTGAGGATCAATGAGCCCCTCCCTCCTAGACAGGTCCCTCTTTTCGTTATTCATATTTAATCTTAAATTTACTGTTAAATAGCAGGGATGGGAATAAGTATAAGAATTGCCTCCCATTTCTTGTTAGCAAGAAATATGCCTCCCTTGTGTAGCACAAGGTGATCGCTTATTTTATTTGAATAAAACAGGAGGTCGCTCTGTCTCAAACAGGTTGAATTAAGTCACTTATTAGGGATTATTTGAAGTTAAATCTTTCCTCAACTATTTTTTTCTTAGTGTCTGGAGTGTGGAAAAGGTCAGATATTGGGGCTGTGTGAAGGGGACTGCTCTCAGGTGGAATGCTCTTAAGGTGTCAGTAAGAAAGCCTGGAAACTTTTCAAATTAAATAGTTCTTGGGTGGCTTCTGGCCTCATCTTGCTGGCCTCAGAGTTTCGGTGTCCTGTTTTTGAGTGTATTCTGTAGGGTTTTGGAATTGGATATGAGTCAACTCTATGAACTGTGTTCCCTGTCAGGCCCATGGTGAGAGGAACTTCCATGTGTTTTATGAGCTACTGGCTGGGCTGCCTGTGGAGCAGAAAGAGGAGTTGTACTTGCAAGAGGCAGAGTCCTACTTTTACCTGAATCAGGTGAGGTTAGGATGCCCTGCAGCAGCTGATAGAGTGAAACAGCCAAGGCATCACTTCTGTTTGGTTAGTGAGGCACCTAACAACTTTGCTTCCCTCCTCATGTGTCCCTCACAGGACTATACTAAAGTCTACTCTGTTCCTTCTCACATCTGACATAAGATGTGTTTCTTATGTTATCTTCTCACCTTTCAGGCCCTTTCTGCTCACAAAGAAAGCCTTTCAAAAAAGGAGTCATCGTGTAGGCCCGTGGCTCCACCCTGTGGTGAAGAAATCCTTTTCTCGTTCCCATTCCTTGCATTTGCAATTTATTGTGGGACTGAAAAGAGCAGGGGGTATTTCTTTCTACCTTCGGCAAAATACTTGTTTCATTGAGTCAATGGGTAGAAATTTTAAACCACTGAAATGTACTGCTGATTACAATCTATTTAAATTGAAAAAATTGTTTGCCAGACTTACGGCAAGCCATCACCTTGGAGCAGGGTTTCTTTGTTTAAGAATGCTTTCCATACTCAAGAAGTTCATAGCAATAGCGAGATATCTTTCTTACTTGAGCTGTGTGGGTCAGCTTTCCCAGGTGGGCAAGCTCTTTACAGCAGCTGTGGTCATGTGAGGAATCCTTGACAAATGATTGCTATTGTCTTTCCTTGAGGCAAGGGATGAACAAGTGTGATTAATGACTCCAGGATGGAGGGCAATTAAAGGCCCATCCCTTAATAGAGTGATGTTCCTAGTTGGCAAAGGACCTGTATTGTAAATTAAACTCTTCAAGTTGATAGTTAACAGGAGTGTCTCAGCCTGCTTCAGAGAAGGAAAGAGAAGAAGATCAGACCATGTGTAAAGAAGTTAGCAGAGACCGACAAAATCTCTCTTGGATCTCAGTCTTGGCAAGAAGAAGTCCAAGGCCTGCCTGGACCTCATTCTTGTCCTCACTTGAATCTGGTGATCAGCTGGAAACTTTTGTCAAAGAATTCCCTTGTACACAAACAGGTTCTACAGACTCCCTTGACCCAGGATTTCCATGAACTGTAGGGTCATGGGTGGTTTTTAGGAGTGTTTTCTTGTGGAGAAAAGCACAAGAAGAATAAGAGTGATATGCCCATGTTGCAGTGAAGCTCTGTGGCAGAGGTTAGTGAGACTATAACCCAGGATGACTCTCCAGGTACACAGAAACCCATTTGCTTTGATACACTGGGTTCTGGTAGCATCTTGAACGTAGATTGTGGCATCTATTCTTCTCTCAAGCTGCACTCCAGCAGTGAGCAAGGGGTAGCTGCCTATAATAAAAACTTAGCATGTGTGGGCAAGAGAGATCTTATTCTCAAAAACTCCAGAGAGAAATGAGACTGGTCTGTCATGAATGCTGAGCTCCCACTAGTGGTGTCTTGTTCTTTTAATTTCAGATTCCTCCAGTCCATAAAACTGAACAACTACTCTGAATATTGCTGCCAGTAACTCAGCTCCAGCCTGGGTCAACAGGGACTGACCACAGTTATCTGTCCCTATTCTCTCAGGGCAGAGCTTGTGACATCCTGGGGAAGGAGGACAGTCAGGACTTCCTGGTCTTGGTGCAAGCTCTGGAGGGAATCAGCCTCTCGGATGATGAGCTGACTTCCACCTGGGCTGTCCTGGCTGCCATTCTGCAACTGGGGAATATCTGCTTCACCTCCTACGAGGTACACTAACCCTTGGCAGCTTGGGAATGGGCTGTTTTGCTGGACATTGCTGTTATCCCATGTGGTAGGACTAGGGACGTTATTCTTGATTTAAGATTATATCCTTTGAAGACGATTCTGTTCTTTTGATATTAGACTCTAGACTGACCTAAGCAGTGACAGAAGATGGGAGGCAACCAATGGTCATTAGAGCTTGGGTGGCTCTTTGAGGAGCCAAAATGAACCTAGATGCTGGTGCTTTGGCCTGGCTGTGACCAGCTCTGTGCAGCTGAGATGCTGTCGAGAATATTAATACTAGTGGAAGCTTAGTATCCCATCCATAGTTGATTCTGTTGTTCTCCATTAATTAGAAAGAATCCTATGAACATGCAGCCATCGCCAGTGGCACCGAGATTCAGATTGTGGCCAATTTGTTGCGCGTCTCAGCAGATTTCCTTCAAAGTGCTGTCACTCACTGTGTCACTGTGAGTACCTTTTCGGCAATTTCTCATTCATCCTGAAGCATGTAAAGCCCTAGCCCAGTGCACTGCTCTGTCAGCAGAAGTACCACCCACCTTAGAAGGTCCAAAATCTGGGAGGTAACAGCAGGAACAAAATGGTTGCTGTGCTGGATCAGTAATGAGGATGGCTGAACCCCTCAAGACAACTCAGTAAAGATGACAGAACTCATATCTAGGAGGGCTCTTTTCTAACATGAGGTGGCTTCAGGCTTAACACTTCGGCCAGCTGACTCCCACCTTCAAATGTGGCAGCAAAATTCTCAGGTCAAATAAAAAAAATCCATTTATTAACTGGGTGGACTTCCTTGTGGATTAAAAAAAAAAAAAAGTGTATTTGTGAGATAATAACAGTAAATACTGGCTCTTTATTATCAGGTGACATCTTATGATCGGATCTTCACCCCTCTGTCTGTAGAAGGAGCCATTGATGCCAGGTGACTTCTGCTGTTGTGGTCTGGGTTGGGGAGATGCACCCAAGGGAGCTGTCTTTGCAGTAACTGGTTTTACTCCCCTCTCCTACTCAGGGACTCCATTGCCAAGACTCTGTATTACCTGCTCTTTGAGTGGCTGCTGCTGAGAATCAATGAGTGGTTGGCTCCCTGGGAATCGGACTGTGCCATGGGCATTGTGGACATACATGGCTTTGAGGTTGCTTTTCCTATTCATTTGATACTGTCTGGGCTGCAAGGTCATGTCCTGGTTCTCCTCAGTCACTGCCAGAAAGGGGATGGTATCTGATGGTGGGTTTTCTTTCTGGTTTTGTTTTTTCTTTTTTTCCAGAAAAGTGACAGAGTACATTCTTTTAGAGTCAGTAGAGAAGTCCTCCTTTGGGGTTTGATTTAACACTTTTACTATAGACTCTTGTTATGAATTGCTGTCTGGAGGAGCCTGTAGTCTTCCATGACTGTGTGGCATAGGTCAAATCCTAAGGTACATAGGACTGGGTGGATGGCAAACAGTATTGATGTGTGAGTGGAGTCCTAACAATCATAGATAGTTAACAATCTAGTATTAATGAGAGGGCTTTCTAATGCGCCCACCATGTCAGCCTTGCATGTTTGATACCTTTGCATTACTGACCAGTATGGTGCTGCATAGATAGTGCACATCACTGGCTTTGGTTCTGTCATTCTAAGGAAGAGGAAAGTTATTTTGTTTTAAATCAGAATAAACCCAGCACTTTCAGCCAACTTGGACCATTGAGTTAGTTCATATGCTGTATTAAATACAGATAAAAACTGTCTTTTCAGCAAGAGCACTTTTGTTTAGAAACCAAGTTATGTGTGATATTGAAAGGACATATGGAGATTTTAACTCCATGGTTTGATTCTCACCTAAAAAATGTTTGACAAAACCCACAGAGTTTCTTAGAATGTTCACTTATACACAAATTCCCATAAAAAGCAGCTCAGAGTCCTTTCCCTGCAGCCTGTGTTCTGTTGCTCAGCAGTGGCTTGGGGAGTCAGATCACTCATCAGCCTGTTCTGATGGACCAAGCCCAGAAAAATACCTAGCATAAATTTGCTGTACTGACGAGGTGAGCTGAATAAGCTAATTCTTAATGAATCACATTTTCATTATTCTTGGTGCTATTACTAATAGAAAGAAGAGAAACATTTTTATTGTTGTTTTAATCTAACTGTTCCCATTTTTTCCTGAAGACATGGATTAAGCTGGAAATATGTTAACACTATATTTTACAATTTATTTCTTTTCACATGCTTCAGCATATACTGTTTTGCTGTTATTCCCAGCCTGAACAGGGAGAAGTCCAGAATCCACTGAACTTTCTCAAGAGATTCTCCCTGATCCACTAGGCTTTGGGTCAGGTCAGGGATAGGAGAAGTGCAAGTAATTTTGTAAGCAAAGGCCCTGCAAGGTGTTACTTTTTGAAACTGAGGTTAGGGTAGCATGTAAAGTTCTGGGTCAGGAGTTGTTACCCTGTGGCAGGTGTCTGTCTCAATGAGCTTCTGGAGGCTTCCCAGACATATGGTAAGTGAAAAACCAGGCAGAGAAGGACCTTAGGGTGATATGTGCTCATCAAGGCCTGAGAGTTTTATACTTAGGATTCCTGTTGAAAATCTGTGTGTTCTGAAGAATGCTGAAAACAATGGAGAACATTGTTGGTTGGGGGTGTGCAGCCAAGAGTAGATCTCTTGCTTTGTGCTTCTTTGCAGCTTGTCTTCTTGCTGTTCACCCTAGTCAGTAAATCATGCTGAGACCTTGCAAACCAGACATGAGATGATTTGATGTTCTCAGGTTTATTCACACTTACTGATCAGGACAAGCTGCCTGAACCAGCACCTCGGATCACCACCATCTGTTGCCACGCATTATTCGCATGAAGACACAGCCTCCTGGGAGGGCTGTGGTTGTAAGTGCCTTTTATCTTTGCAGGATCTAGGTGTGAACAGCTTAGAGCAACTCTGCATCAATTTTGCCAATGAGCATCTCCAGCGTTTTTTCATCCAGACAGTCATTGCCCAGGAAGAGGTAAATGGAACTCATGTCAGCACAGCTGAAAGCAGCACACACCGAATGAGCTGAGGCAGCCTCAGCTGGAGAGTATCCTTTAGCAGGAAGCTGAATAGACCTGGCCCTCTTAAGCAGTACCTGTGGAATCCTAGTTAAAAGAACTGGTTATTTAATATTTTTTAATTAATTTTGTAGTAAATTAAGGGGACTTTGTTAGTGTCCTGCTCCCTTTTACAGATTTTATAAATGTGTTGGTATGGATCAAGAACCCCAGACCTCAGCTGGTACTTTTGAAGGCTCTTTGGTTAGATTCATTGCAGCATTTTATGTATCCCTCATGTCCTGGAGATGAAAGTGAATTTATCAGACTTGTTGCCTTTTATGGTTCACTTTACCACTCTGCTTAGCAGCTTTCCTCTCTCAAATTAGGAAAATCATAAGTGACTTTAAAAGAAGGTTCATAAGACAAAATCATGATTCTAGGCAAGTTTCTAACAGCAGTGAAGCACTAACTTTGTGATGAATAAACCAAATCCCTCTGTTAACTCCCTCAATTTTTCTTGTTTTCATGGCTGGATTTGATTGGTTGGTCTTTAACATGCAGGAAGAATATAGGCAAGAGCAGTTAGCTTGGATTCCTATTTCCAAGATGTACAGTGAGTCCTGCCTAGATTTCATTGCTGCAAAACCCCATGGCATCTTGTGTATCCTGGATGACCAGACTTCACTGATTCAGGTAAGAAGCTCTTATCTTATGTGATCTCTTTCACAGGATGGTTATGGTGAGGCAGTTATACAGATTGAGCAGGGAACTGTTCACACAAGTATTAGATGCATTTACCTTTGGTTTAACAGTGGCTTTTCAGCCTACTGAATATGTTACAGCAGCAGGAAACATATTTGTCATCTCCTTTACAGGCCACTGACCACACTTTCCTCCAGAAGTGTCATTACCATCATGGAAACAGCCCTTGGTACACCAAGCCCAAGTTGCCTTTGCCAGTCTTCACTGTGAAGCACTATGCAGGCCCTGTCACCTACCAGGTGAGCTGGCAGGGGTCTCTGAGCAGCTGGAGCAAGAGGCCAGCTTGGAAGTATGTTGTGGATGTCCTGATGGATCAGTTCTGAGTGCTGGGAACAGAGCCCTCCCTTTGTAACTGCACGTTCCCCTAGAGCATCAGTTTATCAGAAATGAGGAGATTCTAATTAGGAGAGGCTACCAAGCTGCCTCTGGGCAGAAGGAAAATAGGCAATGGCCTCAGCTACACAACAGCCTATATTGCTTGTCTCCAAGCCCTGGAAATCCAGGAAAGCTGTTGCTGCTGAAAAAAAGTGAGGGGTCAAATCCTGCTGGGCATCTTAAGAGGAAAAGGAGCAATCCCTCCTAAAAGCAGAAGTCATTGTCCCCTCCGCTCCTGGTGGCCCCTTGTTCCACCTCTCAGCTTTCTGCCCCAAGTCAAGGTGTGTGTAAGAGGGATGTTTGCCTGTCTGCTTGGTGGTCTGAATGGTGCATTAAATCAGACTTTGTCTCTGCAGGTCCACAAGTTTCTCAATAAAAATCGTGACCGGCTGCGTCCAGAGGTGTTGGATATCTTCTCTCAGAGCCGCCTTGAGGTACTGTAATGTACAGGATGAAGATCTCTACTGCAGACACCTAGTGAGCCATTCATTGCTTTCATGTGTGAAGCAGAAAGATCCTGGCCAGGTGTCAGGAGAACCTGGAGAAACACTGAGGAGTTTTGTTCTGCTGAAGGACACTTGGGAATTAAGCAAGTTGGTTTTGCCCACAATTGATGCATTTTATATATGAAATGCACAGACTGCCTGAGGATGCAGCTGGGATCCTGGCACTGCTAGGGGAAAGGGAGAATGATCCTCCCATTCCAGTTAGAAGAGATTGCTCTTTTCATGTGGTTCAGGGAGCTTTGGTCATTTCTTTGTTTTGCAGGTGGTATCTCACATTTTCCAGAAGGCTAAAGCTGCCTATAGTCAGCAAAGGGAGCTGGGGGCCAGAGGCAAAGGGATCAAGCCTCAGGCCTCCACACTGGTGTCTAAATTCCAGCAGTCTTTGCAGGACCTCACAGACAAGCTGAGAAGGTGAGAGATACTATTATAGTACCATCCCTGCACTGGGATGATTGCTACACTCAGTAGTGTGTAAAGTCTTCCCAGGTCAGCACAGAGAGGAGGATGATCAAAGGTTCTTCCTTCCATTTTCCAGGAGCCATATCTTCTTTATTCGTTGCATCACCCCTAATCCCAAAAAGGTAGGGCAGCACTCTGAGCTACTTATGGAGTCCCTCAGTTCCTTGAAGTCCACTCCTCTTCAGCAGGTCTCATTTCACACTTGGGATTTGAACTTCTTTGCTTCATTTGATAGCTTGAAACTTTTCTTCCCCTTTCTCTGTCTCTGAACTTTCCCTGTGGCCATGTGAGCTGATCACATGCCGGAGGATAAGAAGCTGGTGTCAGCTGGACACCAAAGGAGGTGTTGGGTTTTGTGTTCCATCACCCACAGACCATGGCAAGGTCTAACCCAAAGACAGGACAATACAAGGAGATCCTTTCTAAACTCTCTGCCTTCTGTATCATTTCTTTTTTTCTTTTTTATTTCTTGTTTTACATTTTTCTTCTGTATTATATTCACAGCTCTCAAATATCTTTGATGTGGAGTATGTCACTTGTCAGCTGCGACATTCTGGGATACTGGAGGCTATCCACATTAGAAAGGAGGGATATCCAGTCCATCTTCCATTCCAGAACTTCCTAGCCAGGTACAGTAGGGTTCTGGCTTGGGATTCCCCAGCCACTCAAAGCCTGGATGAACTTGTCAGCACACTGTGATTTGTTCTTCTCTGAGGACTCCAGTTACAGCCCTGGCTTCTGTTGTATCAACATCTCACCTTCCAGGTATGGCCTCCTGGCTGGGAGAAAGCACAATGGCTTGGAGAAGAGAGAAGGCTGTGCAGCAGTTCTGTCTCACGTGGTGGGGAACCCCTCAGATCTCTATCAGATTGGAGTAACAAAGGTGATGCCCATAGAGAAGCCCATCTTAATCCCACAGGCTCTGCCATCTAGTCACTGGCTGTCAGTGCACAGAGAGCAGCTTGGCTCCCTGCCCAAAGAGGGAGAACATTGCATGTCTTCACCTCCCTTTTGCTTTGCCTCTTGTCTCCAGTGTGAAGGAGGGATTTTTAGCATTTCATATAAAGAAAGAGGGGACTCTGACTCTAGGCTGTTGTAGCATGGCCAACTCCTTTCCCTACCCATCATTACCTGATGGAAGTTTGGGCTTCTGCCTTTCCTGCCTACTAACCTTCATCACTCCCTGTTTCCCTGTCCTCCACAAATGCATCCATACTTGTCACCTGTGCCTCCTGCCCTCCCCAATTAAGGGAGTGCAGTTTCTTTGGCAGGAAACCTGAAAGGCCACAAAGAGATAAACCAGCAGCTTTTATTATTGATCAAGTCTTAGAGAAGCTGGCTGCTTTCCTTGTGGGTCAGCAGCTGTTCCCTTTGCCCAGGTCTTTCTGAAGGAGAAGGCCAGGCAGCTTCTGGAGAGACAGTGGAACCAGAGGCAGAGTTGGGCTGTTGTCACTCTGCAAAGGAAATTCCGATGTCTTCTTCATCGCAGACGCCTCCGTGTTCTCCAGGAGAAAGTCACAATCATTCAGGCTCACTTCCGAGGTTACCAGGCAAGGTACAGCCCTTTGTCCTTGCCTGGGACAAGAAGGTGGGGATGTCCCTGGCCAGGCCCCTCCTTGTGTTGGCTCCTGACCTGCTCTGCGGTGGGGTATCTTGTTTCTGGAATGGTGGAGGAAGGACTTCCCAGCCTGGTTCCCAACACTGAGCAGAGATTCCAGGGGTAATACAGCTGCTGTCAAAGCTGTTATGGTAACTGACCTGTGCTAAGGCTGATATTGTGATAGCTGGAGTACAGGATGTAGAGAAAACATCTAAGAGAGGACCAGTCTTAACACAGTAAGACCAAATCCAGACTGGATGACTGTACTAATGTTTTGTTTGGTCCATACCCTCAAATTGAGTCCAAATTCTGCCTAAATTTTGTTGATATTTCCCTCACTAGCAATTCTTCTCTTTTCACATCCCTCTAGGAAGCGTTACAGGAGGTTGAAGAAGACTTTGGTGCAATTTAATACCATGATTTTAATCTCCAGACATTTGATTCAAAGGAGGAAACACTGCCAGGTAACAACACTCTTCTCAGGACCAGGTGTACTTGCAGGAGCTATTTCTGCTCTAAGTAGAGAGCTGGTGACTGGATGAGGCCAGGGGAGGGATGACTTTAGAAAGTTTCTTGGAAATGATCCAGTGAGGTGTCCTTCATTCTCTGGCTGACATAAATGTGGTCAAAAGAAGGAATCCCAGAGACTGGAGCCTTCTCTCCGTAGATAAAGTTCAGAATTGGCAGCTGATTCATATGTCTGTGTATGTGAGCTTCTCTCTAGGTTGCCCCACATAAGACATGAGCTTATTCCATCTGTGGCCTCCAGACCTGCTGTTCCACTCAAGCTATAGGGAGACATTCATCTTGTTCTTTTAATTGTCCAGTTCAGTTTCTGGTGTTTTCTCAGATTATGACCAAAATGCAAGATTATTTCAGTCCACAGTGATCCTTCCCTGACCCCTTACAGCTACCACAGGCTGTGGAAGTACTTGGCCTTTTGCTAATCAGCTGGGCCCATATTTGGGGTGAGAACAGGGTGGCAGTGGTTTGAGAAAATGGGAAGTTGTGTGCAGGAGAGCACCATGGTTCTGTCAAAAGGGTTGAATGTATTTTGCACTGTTAGACAGAAACTTGTAAACAGAAAATCAGACCACTCATTGTTAGAGTAGTAACTAACAATCCCATACCTGTCAGCTTCGTAAGGGAGGGACCCAGTACAGCTACTGGCATGACTGGCATGGGCATGGCATGACATGACAGGGCAGAGGGTTAAGGTCAGTGGTGTTGTTGGAAGACTGCAGAGGTTCCTTCTGCCATGATGTATCCAGAGCAGTTTGTGTTTCTGTTCCTTTTCCTGACTCTTCCTACTTGGACAGGATCCAGCTTTTCTCTCTCCCAGGTAACCACAACAGCACAGCTCTTTTGAATCTGTTTCTATTCATCCAGTGTTTGCTCAATGAGGTCTCTGTACATGCAGTAGCAACAATAAAGGTCTCAAAGTTCACCTGCTGCAAAGTTCCTCCTTTGCCCCCACCCCACAGCCCTGCCCTTTGGACTTCAGCATGCCTACTGTCTTTCTCAGCCCAACCCTCATAACCTCCCATCTAGTCACACCATCCTGTAATATAGACAAGCAGGAGAGAGAGGGAGAGACTGAGACCCTCCTTTTCCATCTCAGGGGAGAGACAGAGACCTTCCTTTTCCAACTTGGAGTAGGAGTCAGGTGAGTGGGGAGACTGGGAGACGATAGAATGGGTGGGAAATGGCAGAGCAGCAAGGGAGTTTGGCTTTTGGTATTCCTCACACCCCCTCTAAAAGGGTACCTTTCCATGGACATGTTTGTTTGTCCATATTTGTATACTTTGACGCTGGAGGAGGCAGGTGAATGTTTCTGACAGCTTCTGTGTGCTTTTGTCCTGAGATACATCAAATGCTAGGCAAGGGAGGAAAGGTGTGGCAGGGATGCTGGGCAGGTGGTGAAGGCTCTTGCTGTTGACATGTGTAGTGCAGGCCAGGTGGTGTTTCAGCAAAGGGAAGGGCTTTGCCTGGGCACCCCCTTCTCCATACATTGTGTTGAGTCCTGAGAAGGCTCTGCAGCTGTTCTGTCATTTTACCTGCTGGAGCAGGACAACAGCTCCTGCCCATCTGCAGAGTCTGTCCCCAGAAGTAGCTAGAAGTGACCTCATACACATCTTTTCCCACCCCCTATCCCCCTTTCATCTCCTAACAGCAAGAGTTAGAGGCAAGGAAGCGAAGGAGGAGGTCCCTGGCCATTGGTGACACAGACAGCAGTTCCAACCAAGGAATGGTAAGTTGTCAAACAGTCTGGGAGAGCCTGAGATAAAACAAGCCAGGCTCTCAGGATGTTCTCCCTCCCCTGTTCCTCTTCAGCCCAGATTTGCTGGGAAACAGCAAACATCTGGAGAGTGTACAAAACCAACATGTATGCAGCAAACCTAGAAGCAAGAATGCAGTTTAGCCTGGTATAAAGAACCTTCTAACACGTAACTATCTCAATAGTGCTGTGTTTCCCAATCTCTGGGCATAGTCAGGCATCACAAAGTGGTCCTGGGGCAGAGTACTGTATTTGTGCACAGCACTGGACCTGTTCTTTGGAGTGTGTGGGGGAAGACTATTTTTGATAACAACATTCTATTGTGAAAGGTGGGAATGAGACAGTTCTGCACAAATATATTTATGGAAGATGTTCTAGAGGTAGAGGAAGGGAAGTATTAAAGGCTTCATAACAAGTTTAACCTGTATCAACTACTAAGTAACACTGCTAACTAAATGTCATTATTTATACATTTATGAATATGTGTGTGGCAAGGAAATCTGAATTGACATAATCTATAATTTTGCACAGATTTGTCAGTAGCAATGGGAATACTTAGCACTGGGTGCTCTTGCAATATCACCTATTTCCTCAGGTGTGGATCCAGAACTGTGGAATTTCACAGTCCATTTCCTGCATACCACACTGAAAAGCTAGATTAAAGTCAAGTATCTTCTTATGACCAAAAGCAAACTGATCAAAAAAGCTGTCTTTAAGCATTGCTGAGAGTTTGTGGAGAGACATGTCAGAATAGTATGTTGGCGAGTAGAGGCTTTACTATGCAGAACCTAAACCCCCTAAAAACAAACCCCAAAAGCTCAGGCTTTGTGCCTTTGGCTTGGTTTCATAGTGTCTTAATCTGAGTAGTCCTGTATGAAATGCCTTTAACTGATGTTATATGCAAACACTGGTGTTGCATTGGGCCATTTGCTCCCTACCTTGCATAAATGCATGCATGATGCAAGGTGCAAAACAGTGAAAAATCAAGGCTCATTGGCCAGGTTTTCATCTGAATTACCCAGGTACAGATACGAGCTTCCATAGGAACCTCCAAGACTGTGGCATGTGTCAAAGATCACAATCGGGTCTCTATTTATGCTGTAGCAGTCTTGGATACTGAAGAATAAAACTAAAAACAGCAGAAAAGGAGCAGGAGGAAATGGCCCTTACCCTTCAACTGCAATCTCTTCTGTGCAATATGTCAAATTTGTTAGTAATGAGAGATGAGTCAAAGTCACCTTTCCTGTCACTTCCCCTTGTGGCAGTTGATTTTTTTTTGTTGTTAGAAATTACTTACTTTTGCCTCCTTTGCTGACCCGTGTCATATACTTGTGTTAATATGATACTTCCCTATTTGTAATGCTTCTGAATGTTGCATAGGCAGAAATTACTGGGTTTCTCAGATGCTCAGCCCTTGTTCTGGCCAGCTTTTCAGAGGCAGCTTTACCCAGTCTCAACAAACAGCTCCGGGTTTATATGTTGTTTCACTGCTAGTACCCCAGTGACTGCCTTGCTCACTTTCTCCACAGGATGTGGGACTGCTGGAGATCCCTGCAGACCTTGCTGCCCTCCTGCAGTTAGCTGAAGGTGAGGAACCCTTCCTTCTTCCCTCTCTTTCCTGTACTGTTTTACTTTACTGTTTATTTCCTTGTTTTCTAGCAGTTTAAAGATGTGCTTGTTCTACCTACTGTCTATCACCTGGGTTATATTTGATTTATGATTATTGCAGTGTAAATATGATAAAGGCAGATGGTGTCATGTGTATTGTTTCCTAACACGACAGGGTGGAAGAGGACTTGGGCCAGTGGGCAGAACACCAGATTCAAATTCAGTATCGTTGTTACCTTTTCAGCTCTTCTTTTAAACTGTGCTGATAGAACTGATGAGAGTGATGGTGCAAAACCTTTTAGTCAAAGCCATGTGACAGCAAACTTTAATGAACCCAAGTCTTTTGCAGAGCTGGATATCTGGGGTGTGAGAACTTAAAGCCATCTTTTGTCTACTCAAAAACTGTTTAAGGAAATTGAAGGTGAAGAAGTCAAAACTACAATTTTGGCACTTTCAAATGAATGTTTTGGGGTTTTCATTAAAAATTACTTGTTCAAAAGTAATTATTTTAAAATAGAATTAGGTAGAAATAATATAAAAACTTCAGGATGTAACAATTAAGGGAAATGTTTTGCTTGGGATGGAAAGTTTTGGGGTTTTTTTTTTTTTTTTTTTTTTTTTTTTTCCAAATCACCAAAATGCAACAATTAACTGAAACAATTTCCCAAGTTGTTGACCTGACCTTGAGCTTGAATTTATTTTCAGTTTTGTTTCCTCTGTAACTCTTTTTACAATGTACATATTTAAGTTGAAATAAGTTGAGGCAGGATTTGCCTCTTTATGTTGGTTTAGCATCTAACAATGACAGCTGTATCCTGGGCCTTCTGTATAGCACAGAAAAGGATACAATCAGGCAGAACAGTCTTGTGAATTAGAGCAGACTGTGCTGGATTCCCAAATACTTCCTACTTCATGGCATACCCCTCTAGGGACTATCAGTTAGTCTCATGAGCAGTATTACTTAGAGAAGCTCAGGAGACAAACTGCCCTGAAACTGCTGAAAACAAAAGCTGATGGAATGTAAACAGCGAGGAGAAGAGCATCAGGGGACACGTTGGTTTGGAGATACAGGAATGTGCAGAACCTGTGTTGCATTGAGAAATCTCTTCATTTAGGAAGATATTTGCTTCTCTATTATCCATGATAAATCCCTCATCCAGTGCCTCATCTTGAAGACCTCTCATTTACTTGTTGGCTGAACACGTGTCAGCAGTATCTCTGCATAGGCTCAGTGTTTCCTACCTTGTAAACTCCGCATAACAGAATTGAAACTCCAGGTGCTGACTGCCTCCTGGGTGTTACCCAGTGATAAGAGTCTGAAAGATCACAAGTGTAAAAGCTCCCTCCTGAAGTGAGGCCTTGTGGTCTCAGGGAAGTGAGGATGCACCTCTTTGGGGGTTTAGGGCAGCAGGGGCAGACTGAGTGTCCCTGGAGCCAGGGGGCTGGTACAGGTGCTCAGGCAAGGTTAGATGCATATTAGCCATGTGTTGCACTGTAAGTCGGATGTGTTCTGGCTGCCTTTCCGACTCTACAACACAAGACAGAGCTCTTTCTCTTGCAGGTCAATACCAAGGACAGGCCAACCAGATAACTGAGGCATTGCCTCCAGAAGTCAAGGTCAAAGATGACCTTTCCCTCCCACCTACCATCAACAGCTATCCTTTCTCCTCCTTCATTAAGTCACACTTCCAGGTGGGAACTCTTTGTATCTCTTTATTGCTTCCCCACTGAGGAGACACACTAGTTCCAATAACAGCAGGAACAAACCGTTTCTGTCCTTTTGTTTCTTTGTAGAAGACAGATTTCCCACCCCCTGGTCAGCCTCTGCAGCACCCCTTAACCCATCTGGAAGCTGAATACCAGGAGAGTGCGCTTGAGATCAACAAACTGGTAAGAGATGTTTTTCTTGACCAGAGACTTACTAAAGAACAGGTGGGCAGAAGACAGTGTTCTGATGCCTTTATACAACAAGATGCTGGTGGTGACTGTTCTTACAATACACGATGTGTTAGGAGAGCAGAATAAATTGCTCCTTCTGGGCACTGGAGCAGCCTGGCAGAGATCATGTGCAGTCCCTTAGGGTTGCTGTGTTCTTGGTGAGGCATAGGCCAGCCATAGACCAATGGGATCAAAGTGAATTGCCTGGTGATGTAGCCTCCAAATTTGGCAGGACATACAGGAATTAGCCTGCTAGGCCTTAGTTTCCCAATACTCCAGATTCAGTAGCAATGACACTATAAGGGAGATCTGTCTTCTCAAGCAGTTACTCTTATCTGTCAGTTATTATGTGGTTTATAGTAAATATGTTGATTGTATGTCAGGCATACAGTTGCGTCAGTATACAACAGGGGACAGTGAACTGTTGTATAAAGGCTGGAAAAAGGCAGGGACTTTGTCATCAAGAAAACTACACCTGGAACCACACCCTAATTCTGTAGTGTTTGTGTGAGGGGGATGGTGTTATTTCATCTCTGTGGATGTGAAACATACATGTCTTCTTAAAAATGGTAATGTTGACTCTCTGAAAATAGAATGAAACTTCAGATAATTTCTAAGTAAATCTGGTAATTCTTTTGAGAATTACATGTAATTAAAATCAGCCTGTTAGGAAAGGTAACACCAAAAAATCAGTTGTTTTGTCCTAATGATTCCAACTATGGAAGAGCATGAGATTCAGTATAATCTTGTGAATAGGGCTGTGCTTAGGCAGACTAATATTTTTCCTGAAGATCAACGATAATATTTCTCTGTTGCTAATCAAAAAACAGACCAAATTATTTCTTTGGCAAAGGCCAAAGATTTGCTACATAGAGATTTGCTACAAAGAATTCCATGAGAACTAAACAACCGCTATCTCCTGTTTTTCTTGGTGAATCTCTGACACGATTAGTCCATTAACCATTTTAAGAAGTGTTGTTCTCTGAGGAAAAAAATAGGCCATCACTCATAAATGTTCTTTCCAAAGCTGTCCATAGCACATTTTTAAAAAATTTCAATCTTATGACATATTGAAGTGTAGGGGCTGAAAGAAATTTTTCTGTACCAAAGGGTGAGAAATACAAACTACAAAAGCATCCAAGATATTGATATACATAGCCAAGAAGCTGAATCATTGCTAAGTGAGTTGGTTGAGACACCACATCTCATACTACTTGGTATAATATTAACTACACCGAAGTCTTTTCAACATTCAGTTGTTAGACAGTGTTTCCTCATGTCTGGCACTCTGAGCTTTTCACAAAGATCAGCTAAGCATTAATTTCTTCTACATATTTTTACAGCTACACAGCCTGTGGGCTCAGACACAGTAACAAATAGCCTACGGTAACTTGCTTGTGTATCTGAGCTCTGCCCAAAGAAGGGGAAATATTTTGCCCAAGAACAAATTCTGAGTCAGAGGCATAACTAAGAAGAGACTGAAGTCGTCCTGACTTTTAGTCAGGATTCAATCCCTATGAACGCAGCCTTCCCAATTCCCCAGAATTTAGGTGGTGCACAAAACCTGAGAATAGATCCTGATCTGAGTGTTGGCTACTCTTCTTAGGCTCACACACCCCCTGGTGTCTACAATCCAGGTTGTCATCTTACAACACAGTTTGGAACAGAGAGTTACATCTAGAGCTCTCTCTGTTTTGTTTTTTGTTTGGTTTTTTTTTTCCCCCCTCTGGATGCTTCTAGATTTTGCGGTTCATTGGTGACAAGAATCTCCATGGCTGGCAGGAGGTACTTCTGGGCAACTACATTGCTGGGAGAGGTTTGAATAATGTGGCTCTGCGCAATGAAATCTTCAGTCAGGTGGTTGCCCAGACATGGAAGAACCCAGACATGGAGCACAGCCAGCGAGCTTGGGTCCTGATGGCAACTTTGCTGAGCTGCTTTGCCCCTTCACCAGCACTGGAGAAGCCGTTGCTGAAGTAAGGAGGAGAAAAGACCTAGCTATACCTTCATTAAGGTTGAGATGAGCAGTGTGCTAAATGCAGTTGCCTTTTCCTAGATTTGTGTCAGATCATGGCATGGAGGGCTACAATGCTGTTTGCCAGCGCAAGATCTTGACAGCAGCACAGTACACAGAGGTAGACTCTACATTGTCTCGGGCCTATCCTCCCACTCAACTGGAGTGGACTGCAAACCAGAGGAGAGGGAAGATGGTGCTGGATGTTCATACCTTCAATGGTAACTCGTGCTTCTGCCCTTCTGCTGTCTTCTAGTCTTCTAGTTTGTAAGATTTTCCAGCTGGGCTCTGTGTCCTGCAGAATTTAGGTGTTGCTTTGGGTTCTCTTGGGGAGGCTGTGTGTACTGACTTTCTTTTCTGTGCTAGAGGAGAAGTTCTCAGCTGAGGTGGAGTCCTGGATGACTGGGGAGCAGTATGCAGGCTGGCTCCTGAGTGCAAGGTACTGCCAGAGGATGGGAGATCTGGGGGTGTGAAAGAGGCTGTCACTAGTTTTAGGGTTCAGACTGGGGCTTCAGGCTAGAATTTATATGGCCAAATGTGGAGTAGCCACTCCTTCCCCACCCCAGCTTGTGTTCTCTCCTTTGCCCTTCCATCTGGGTGTATAAACTGTAGGCCTTTTCAGGAACAGAAGAACCACTGGTGTGATCTGTCAGAGCAGATTCAGAGAAAAGATGAAAAAAAAAAAAAAAAAAAAA